TACAGAGATATAATTGGGTAATTCATATAAGCCTACAATCCGCTTACTAAGGCAGCAAGACACTCATATATATACCGTTATAACCAAAGAATACAGTTTTCATTGAAGATCATAAGTTCTGCTGTGAAGTATTTTCCTCAGTTGTGTTAGATGCTTTCTGTATGCATTCTCTTAAATTCAGGTATAGATCAACATGATTACACTGGCATAATATTCTTTAGCCTTTACATTGTCATTGTGAAAGCCATTTCATTTTGAACTTAAGGATTTGTTGTAAAAAGTATGTACATCTTGCTGCAAGAAGAGAATGGGGTGTTGTCTCATGTCAATAATTTTGCAGCCACCATTTCTCTCAAATTTTACCTTATCCAATTTAAAAATTACTCATCTGAATTATATTCTATCAGGATAGTGGTATCTTTGTTTACCCTACAGTTCGAGGTCCTCCACCGAAACTAAAAATGGATGCAGCTGCATTTGAAGTTGATATGGCCAAGGCTTTTAGCTTGCTTGCCATTGCTGGAGTATCTGGGTTCTGTCAGTTCTCTCTCGCATGCACATTCTAATTTGGTTTCTACTAAGACCATTTATTTTATACTTTTCTAATGTCTTTCCGGATTTTGTTTTATTTACAGGTGAGCATCCCACTAGGGATGTATGTAATCTTCCTGTGTATTTTTCCTTGGTGGCGAACATGGTTCAGATGGATTCTGCTCAACCTTGTCAGTACTCTTCATGACACCCTCAAGAAGAGATCCAAGTTGCCGAAAGAACAAGTTACTAAACTAAATAGGCTGTTTCCAATAATTTTCTGTAGTTTTTATCATTCTTAAAGATGAAAAATCGGCATAGAGTCTATTCTATTTCACTTTTCTCTTCATACACCCACTTTTTGACATCTCTTCTGCGGTGCCATGGGCTTGTATACAAAAATAAAAATGCAGAATGTTGAAATGTACTTGTTCAGGGGCCAGTATTCTCTTCATTTCCTGCAACATTCAGGATACATAGATATATGTTTCCTCTATGGGAAAAATATTGGAAATTCAAGATTCAAGACCATTTGTCCCTGTCATCAGCTGTTCTTAATGTAAATGATATGTCAACATGGGGAGAATATCCGCTATATATGTATTATGAAGATCTATAATGATATTCTTAGTTAATATCGTTTACAAAAGGACACTATGTTCTCTCTGATTGCCTTCATATTAGCCGTATGGTATGGAATGGGATTTTGTGATGTTAACATAAACAGTGCGACCTTTGCATATTTAGCCGTCTGGTATGGTGCTCTTTCAATATAATTCATCTGACTTGGGGCCTTTTGATAGTTCCTTGAACGGGGAGCTTCCGATATATCCTTATGAAATGGGAGCTTTAAAATATAATCCGTAAGAATTGGGACGACAGTGCGCCTGTGATGATAGATTCCAGGAACGATGGTTAAATTCATTTTTAATTTAGTTCATATTTTATGAAAGTAATTAAAGAACGCTTACTCCAACAGAGCTTGGTAAGTCCATATATAAGTTTCTCATCTATTTCATGCAATGCCACACCACAAACTGATGTGATTTAGGATAACTGACCCAAGTTCAAATTAAATCCCCCGTTCCATCTGTTCTAAAATTAAACAAAGAACTCCACAAACAGCCAAAACGCCATTTTGAAATTATTTTGGAACCCAGCAAACGGTGCCATCCCCGAGTCCTATACATCAAGCAGTGAAAAGAGTCCACAGAGTCGCAGACCAGAACACTAGATGTATAACCCCCCTTGTATCCATACTGCACTCGATATTTCTGCCATCCAGTAACTGAAATGAATATCCACTACCCTTATTTATTTGAAATAAACTGGCACTTAACAATGCTTCATTAATCTCAAACATTCCATGCCACCCATTTCTTTAATAGCCCCATGGACAGCGAAATGGCTTTTGCGATCATTATTGGACTTCACGATATGACCCCCAAGAGCCTGACTCATCACAGGCTGCGCGGATTTATGACTAAAGTTTTGATTAGAGTACTACCTGAGAGGAAAATTCAGTTTCCTGCAATTTCTTCTTCACCTTCTAATTGATTGATGATGAAAATTAATGGTGAATTTGGATAAGCTTGAAAGAAGAATAGCTTCCATGTTGGAGCATGTTGTCTGCCAGATCTCTTGGTTAAAAATTATAGAGAAAATGAACTATATATGATGTAATTATGTTTCTTTTGTTTTAGAAATCCCGCTCCAAGATTAGTTGTGGGAAGATTCATGGATGGCTACTTACTCTAATTGCTAGGACACATCTTACAGCTAAAAATTTCCAGTTACTGCGAAGCATGCCAAAAAGTGCTAGACATTGCGACGATAACCTCTACCACCCATTGACATATATCTGAAGGTATGCAAGTTATTTGTAGTCTGTTCTTGTACTTCTAGATCTTTAACAAATGTCAGGAATAGGTGAATAACTTGCATCGTTAACATCCTAACCTAACAGAAGAAGAAAGGTCAAGTGTAGCAAAGCTATAGAATATCATAAACTATCACAAGAAGCGTGTCAACACATGATGAAAAATTACCGTTGCCATTGAAATTGAAATGCAACTTATCCTTCTTGAACAAGTGAACATGAACAGGTCAATGACAGCTGCAGGATCATTTACCAGCGAACAAAGACTCCGGCCATTATTAGATAAGTTTATCTTCTGACAAATCACTGGTATCCCGTATATGTTTTTCAGTCAATTATGTGTTCAATCAGGTATCTTAAATGACATATTCAATGTTTCTCGGTACTGGAAGTCTGGTAAGTATCTTCAGTCAAATCAGTGGCTGCATGGTTGGTTGAGAAGGGAAATCCAAGCTCTGATGCAGGTATGATGTTCATGAGTCTATTTGTTCTTGCAATTTCTTGCCCTTAGTTACTTAGAGCATGGTTGGACATCCAGTTAAAAGTGAATTTTCTCTATTAGCCCTAGAGCAAATCCACTGAAACTAAAAGGAGATTCCCTAATAGCAGTGCCAAATATTGGTTATATAGCTTTTACTTGAACCATCCTTCTTATGTACTAAAGCATTGTTTGTGATCATGGCACCTATATCTGCAAATATTATTTCCAATGGAGGGAGTTGTCCCACATAAATGGAAGACGCTGAGATTTATTTTGGCTTTCATAAATTTTCTTTTCTTGAAGCTCATCTAGCTTGGCGATTATTATACCTTTTTCTTATTTTCAAGAGGAATATAACCCATAAGTTGGTGATGCTTGTAATGTTTATCTCATTTACCTTTAGAAGAAGCCCTACGTTCTTTTCCGAATTGGAGGAAAACGGTTTGACAATATTTATTGTCTGAATTGCTTTCTGGAACATAAGCTGCTTGCTTTTCTTGTTGAATTCAGATTATGAACCTACTTCATAGGGATAGCAAGATTACTGGACAATTTTGATCTGTTTTGTCGTGAGGATAAAGGATAATTGACTAGATTTTTGGAGAACATATTGAAAAGTTCCTGTTGTTGACCGTAAATTTTTAGCATTTTGGAGCTGCATCTAATAGCATTGGCATAATTCTGTCTTTAATTTTTTTTTTCACTAGAACAGACTGATTTCTAGTCTTCTGTGTCTCTTTTGGACTATGAAACAAAACTTTTGGTATTGGCAAGTTTAGGACCGCCTATATTATGGATATTGTCTATAATTGTGCTGTTTACAGGATCTGGCCATGCATTTACCTCTTGCAAACTAGTTATATGTTATATCACTAGTAAAATTGCTCTACATTTTGTTGACTATTGAAGACTGGTTTGCTTGCTTTTTTATAGGAGAAAGATGTTGAAATTGTTGTGCATCACATAGTTGGTGTGGTTGATTCATTTTTGAGGAGGTAATATTCAGTGTTGCTTGCATCTTAAATTTATGGTAATTGATTTGAAATTTCTGTCAATTGAAACCCCGTTTTTGTTTTCATTTTTTTTGGTTATGTATGATGAAACTTGTAATTCAACTTACCCAAATTTGCTATGATTTCCAGAAACGAGCATATGCGACAATTAGAAAAACCTGAAGCAAAACAAGAAGATTTTAAGGCTCTAGTCTCTGATGCGGCAAGACCTTTTCTAACGGCAAGAACAGATCGATTTGTGAACGAGATGGAACTTTTTCTTGCTTCTGGGTTGAACATTGAAGCCTATGATGCAGTCTACATGCAACGGTTGGGTTGGAACACTCCCAGAGTAACTATCGAGTCCACGGAAAGGGAATCCAGTGGGCAGGCCCCTGTAATAGTCCCATACTTGTATATCTTTGATGAGGATTCGGATGGAACTGATTGAATGTTTTCTTGCTATTTCTGAAGTTTGTATTGACTTCCATTATTATGAGTTGATACTTTGTTGCCAGTTCTTGATATTTGAAGTCAGAAGAGGATCCTTGCCTTGAATCAATTGAGCCAAGGTCCCATGGTTAACTGAGTTTTCCATTCAATAGCTTGAGTTGTGAAGAAGACTATGATCTTTTTGAGGTTCCTAATTTCAGTTTCCTTTCACTCAACTGGATTAAAATTTTGAAGTTGTGAAAATGCATCTAGTAATTCTTTTTCATGTCATATTGTGGTAGGTGACAAGTCTTCTATTTTAGGCGTATTGTCTGATGTTCGATTCGTATTCGTGATTTAAGTGAAAACTGTGGTCGTAGTTTGCTACGTTAGTCTCTTCTAACAATTAATTGAGATGCGTGTAACCTTACTCGATTAAGATTAAAGAAAAAATAACGTAAAAGTGATAAATATTAACATAGAACCGCTAACCGCAATCAGAGAGTCTTAAAACCCGTCCCATACGGCCTAAACAAGTGTTTATTTGGAAAAATATTTCTCAACTATCTTATTGAAAAATTAAAGCCTATCAGTCATAATATACTAATACATAGTATAATTCTAATAACAAATGCCAAAATAATTAGTAAAATAAACGTTCAAATGGATATAAAATAGCAGCATAGAACCGGTAACAGCAGTCGAGAGTCTTAAAACCCGCCCCATAAACTTTCGCTTGTATTGTCATGGATATAAAGTAGCAGCTGCTAAGCCTACCATACACGAGATTAGAGAAGGAATTATGGAAAACAATGCTAAAAGCGGGTCATCAGCTTCCTCAGGAGATCCGAACCCGTGCCCCATCTGTCTCGGACCCATGGTTCAAGACTCCTATCTTGATAAATGCTACCGTATGTTCACTCTAACTCTTTGTTTTTGACATTTTCATGAGTTGGGTTTCTCCAAAACACTAAATTAAGAAAGCTCTTTATGTCGAAACAGTGGAAGATATCGCTTATGTATTCATTAAATTTGTTTATTGTTAAAGTGAAGATTTTATATAGAATCGAAGAGAAATTAATTGCGGCAAAAATGAATTTAACGTTAAAGATGAGATTTTAAATTTGTTGACATTTCTTGTTTCGATAACGTACTGGAATTGTGCTCGCAATTGACATTGTTGTACTTTGCGTTATTTACTTGTTATCTATTTATTTATTTTTGGGGGATTACATCTGTGAAGTTAAGTGTGATTTCAGATTTTTATTTTGAAAAATATTCTGCCTGCATGTGCATTTAGTTACAAGTTAGAATATATGGATTGAGAAGAAAGTGGAATTTATCGGTTTTGATCATCCGTGAAGGCTTTGGATTTGCATTGCTGTGGTGCAGATAAGTTTTGTTATAACTGTATTGTACAATGGACTAAAGTGGTTGCTAGCAAGCATTCGAGCCTGCTTTCTTCGGTAAAGTGTCCTTTATGCAAGGTTAGTGTTGTTTAGCATCTTCACGACATCTGCTAATATGATTTCTAGTTGGGTGGGCTGGCAAGCCGTGACAAGATGTAAATTTGAAAAGTTTTACTGATTATGCTATGTTTATACCAAGATGCAGACTGAGAACTTTTCAATCATCTATGGATACAACGGAACTCATTTTCAAAGGCATTATATTGGTCAAAATTCTGGGGATAGGTAACCCTTTTCTTCAAAATTTTCTTTACATGTTCATTAGATGTCTTATTTTACTCTTTTACTTCTGCTTGCAGGTTTTTCTTTTCAAAAGCCCATAAGTATAGACTGCAATGCTATTACACAGAATCAGGTCTTAAGCAGTGTTTTATTTGATTCTTTGACTTCAAATTTCATGCTGTCATTTTGCTATTTTATCTTCTGACAAATCACTGGTATCCCGTATATGTTTTTCAGTCAATTATGTGTTCAATCAGGTATCTTAAATGACATATTCAATGTTTCTCGGTACTGGAAGTCTGGTAAGTATCTTCAGTCAAATCAGTGGCTGCATGGTTGGTTGAGAAGGGAAATCCAAGCTCTGATGCAGGTATGATGTTCATGAGCTCTATGTTCTTGCAATTTCTTGCCCTTAGTTACTTAGAGCATGGTTGCATCCATTTAAACCAAAGTTAATTTTCTCTATTAGCCCTAGAGCAAATCCACTGAAACTAAAAGGAGATTCCCTAATAGCAGTGCCAAATATTGGTTATATGCTTTTACTTGAACCATCCTTCTTATGTACTAAGCATTGTTTTGATCATGGACCTATATCTGCAAATTATTTCCAATGAGGGAGTTTGTCCCACATAAATGGAAGCGCTGAGATTTATTTTGGCTTCATAAATTTTCTTTTTCTTGAACTCATCTAGCTTGGCGATTATAACCTTTTTCTATTTTCAAAGAATATAACCCATAATTGGTGATGCTTGTAATGTTTATCTCATTTACCTTTAGAAGACCCTACGTTCTTTTCGAATTGGAGGAAAACGGTTTGACATATTTATTGTCTGAATTGCTTTCTGGAACATAAGCTGCTTGCTTTCTTGTTGAATTCAGATTATGAACTACTTCATAGGGATAGCAAGATTACTGGACAATTTTGATCTGTTTTGTCGTGAGAGAAAGGATAATTGACTAGATTTTTGGAGAACATATTGAAAGTTCCTGTTGTTGACCGTAAATTTTTAGCATTTTGGAGCTGCATCTAATAGCATTGGCATATTCTGTCTTTAATTTGTTTTTCACCAGAACAGAACGATTTTTAGTCTTCTGTGTCTCTTTTGAACTATGAACAAAACTTTTGGTATTGGCAAGTTTAGGACCGCCTAATTATGGATATTGTCTATAATTGTGCTGTTTACAGGATCTGGCCATGCATTTACCTCTTGCAAACTAGTTTATGTTATATCACTAGTAAAATTGCTCTACATTTTGTTGACTATTGAAGACTGGTTTGCTTGCTTTTTTATAGGAAAGATGTTAAATTGTTGTGCATCACATAGTTGTGTGGTTATTCATTTTGAGGAGGTAATATTCAGTGTTGCTTGCATCTTAATTTATGGTATTGATTTGAAATTTCTGTCAATTGAAACCCCGTTTTTGTTTTCATTTTTTTTGGTTTGTATAAGAACTTGTAATTCAACTTACCCAAATTTGCTATGATTTCCAGAAACGAGCATATGCGACAATTAGAAAACCTGAAGCAAACACGAAGATTTTAAGGCTCTAGTCTCTGATGCGCAAGACCTTTTCTAACGTCAAGAACAGATCGATTTGTGAACGAGAGGGACTTTTTCTTGCTTCTGGGTTGACCATTGAAGCCTATGATGCAGTCTACATGCAACGGTTGGTTGGAACACTCCAGAGTAACTATCAGTCCACGAAAGGAATCCTGGGCAGCCCCTGTAATAGTCCCATACTTGTATATCTTTGATGAGGATTCGGATGGAACTGATTGATTTTTTCTGCTATTTCTAGTTTGTATTGACTTCCATTATTATGAGTTGATACTTTGTTGCCAGTTCTTGATATTTGAAGTCAAAGAGGTCCTTGCCTTGAATCAATTGACCAAGTCCCATGGTTAACTGAGTTTTCCATTCAATAGCTTGAGTTGTAAGAAGACTATGATCTTTTTGAGGTTCCTAATTTCAGTTTCCTTTCACTCAACTGGATTAAAATTTTGAAGTTTGAAAATGCATCTAGTATTCTTTTTCATGTCATATTGTGGTAGGTGACAAGTCTTCTATTTTGGTTGGTGTTTGAGAGGTGGGATTATGGGGTGGAAATTTGGAGTTGGACTATTTTTTCCCATGTTTGGGTATATTTTAGGAGATTGAGATTGGATGTACCCCAGTCTCCTTTATTTATCCCAAATCGATGGGATAAGAAATCCCATGGGAAGCCACAAGATTTCTTATGGGACAACATTTTTTTGTGCTTTTAGTAATTATACTCGTTAAGTTTATATATGATTTAAAATTAAAATTAAAATATTATTATTTTAGCTAATAATATTTTTTTAATTAATATATATTTAAAAAATAATATTAGTAAAATATTTTAAATTTTTAATTAACTTTTATATACAATATAATTTTATATTTAAAATTATAGATATTATATTGAATGATAATAAATGCGTTCATAAGGAGTGTAAAAAACTTAAGTCACGTTATTCTAACCCTTAAAATAATTAATATTTGTTCCATTCAAGTTTCTTATAATTAATTACTATATAAATATCACAATTATTAACATAAATAATTTAAATTCTGCAAATTGCACGGGCTTCAGAAAATTTTCAAAGGAACAGGGTACATCATATTTTAGTCAAATAAATTGGGTTCTTTATGATATTAGTCAAATGAACACGGATCTTTCTGATAGTAGTGAACTGATCAGGGTTCATGTGTGTAAGTGAAATGAACAGGGGACTTTCTGATATTAGTCAAATGCACTGGCCACTGGGTCATTATTATTCAAATGAACAAAGACTTTCTGCCGCCGTCCAATGGCGAGTAGCCACAAAGTCACCACATGTCTTGCGGTCCATGCATGCTTGTTGGCTGAAAGAAGTTTTATTGGCGGGATGTCTACCTCTACAGCGACTTCGCTGTTTATGATAACATCAAGGATAAAGCTGAGCTAACCATATACTGTGAGAACAATGGCAGTGGAAGTAATGGCGAGAGACACAGATTATGGAGCTTTCGTCGAAAAATTTATTCTCCAGCCAGTCCCTTCACCTCATCCACTTCCCTTAAGTGGCCTCACTTTTGCAATTAAAGACATGTAAGTAAATACCTCTCTGTTCTCAATTCAATGAACTCCATTGGGGTCTGATCTTCTGATCATGTCAGTAAGATAGGCAGGAACATGAGTATTTGAAGTATCTTTGTTTTAAGTTCATAGGATCGTTTCAGCTTATGTGTTTCGCTCCGTCTTGCTTAAGTTGATGTGAGAAAATGAGAGTGTTGAATTGTTTAAGAACTTCAGCTCTTTAGTTTCATTTGTGTTCCTGTCACAGTTCGTGCTTTACAATAGATAGGACTAATTCCATACTGATGTATTGATCTTGGCTGTTTTTTTTTATTTTAAATTGTTCTTTTGAAATTTGTATGCAGATTTGATGTGGAAGGATATGTAACTGGATTTGGACATCCTGAATGGGCACGGACTCATTCGGCAGCCACGTCAACTGCTCCGGCTGTTTTGGCTGTCTTGAGGGGAGGTGCCACTTGTATTGGTAAAACTGTCATGGATGAAATGGCATACAGGTTGGAGTTCTTTTAACCAATGTATTGGTTTTAGTTAGTTATTCTTTGTGTTACTCTTTTGAAATAGTAGGAAACAAGTTCACTATTTGTCAATTCATAATCAATGGATGATTTGAGACTCCTCCTATAGGTAATTCATCGTTGAATGTTAATTTGCTAATTACTAAATAAACAATGAATAATCGTATGGCAGTATAAATGGAGAAAATATACATTATGGAACACCCACAAATCCGTGTGCACCTGACCGGATACCTGGAGGATCTTCTAGTGGATCAGCTGTTGCTGTAGGTGCAAAGCTTGTAGATTTTTCCTTGGGTCAGTATTTCTGTCTTGTAGGTCCTTATGTTTCTCGGCTTGTCCATATCAGCTTCTAAGTGAAAAACTGATCTCCGCTACAGGTACTGACACTGGAGGAAGTGTAAGAGTACCTGCATCATATTGTGGAATTTATGGGTTTCGGCCTTCAATTGGTGCTGTTTCTACTGCTGGAGTAATTCCTATGTCACAGTTTTTTGATACTGTAGGTAAGGAATTTGTGTCTGACTAACCTACTTTGAGTACATGGTGTATAACATCTTTAAAAATGCATTTTGAGATTGCTCCTGTAGTAACGAAGCTTTTTGTTTAATTTAAATAATAATACCAGTGTGCTTTACCAAATGGATCAACTGGTTATTATCTGTTAATGAGTGAAGCCTTTATGCTGTTGTTTTAGCTTTAATACATCTTGCATTTCTGGCCATTGATCTCCAAGCAATCTAACGGCTGAAGACTTACTGCTGGTCAACCATATAAAAGTTGAAGTCTTTCCTCATTCACAACAGTCTCTTTCGATCGATATCGCTCAATCAAAACTGCTCTTCTAGGGTTCTTTGTATAGTACTTTGCTCTTGTGTAAATTAGTGGTTGATCCACCCATCAAAGTTGTGTTTCTTTGTGGTGTAGAGAATCAGGGTTAGAATTTTCATTAAGGTTATAGATTTACGGGTATAGAAGTGAAGTCGGTGTGATTCTTGTTAGTAAGGGCTTGAAGGGAAGATTGAGTGGTGTGTTGTAATCTTTGGTGACAATAATAATAGTGCAGCGAGCCTCCATATTCTGGAGTTCAACGTAGACGTAGCCTTTTCAATCTTGAACAAGTGAACCATAGTAAAAAGATTGTCTGTTGTTCCTTTTCTATATTTGATCTGTGTTTGATTGTGTTGAATCTTGATTAGAATAAGATTGACTCAGGTTTAGAACATTATCTAAAATATTGTGATTTCTCTTCTTCCACAAATTTTGTTTTGTCCATGGCATGGATAATTTATAGTTGTTCTAGAAAACTTAATAAATTTCTACCACTTTTTAATTTGGTGACTCATTCTTTTGACACCAAATTTTCATCTAGGATGGTTTGCTAGGGATCCTACAATCTTGAGGCAAGTTGGTCATGTTCTGCTGGAGTCATCTGATACGCCTCATGTCAGACCTAGTCAGGTGATTGTCGCTGAAGATTGCGTACGACTTTCAAGCATTCCAAGTGGTCGTTATGTTTAATGTTTAAATAATAATACCCAGTGTGCTTTACCAATGGCCCAACTGGTTATTATCTAAAATTGTGATTTCTCTTCTTCACCAAATTTTGTTTGTCCAGGCATGGATACTTTATAGTTGTTTTAGAAAACTTAATAAATTTCTATCACTTTTATTTGGTGACGCATTCTTTTGACACCAAGTTTTCATCTAGATGGTTTGCTAGGGATCCTACAATCTTGAACAGTTTGGT